ATTCTGTTGTTTGCATGGTCAATATGGAGCTTACACTTTGGCACTAATCTCATTCGTCAAAATAATAGCAATGAAAGTCTGCTTAAGACTTATGCCATTACGCAGGTACGCTTATCTTTTAGACAGTTATACGCTTTTTCACAAAATGTTTTAGCTCTTGACAACCGTGCTTGTCTGCGGGGCCGCTTATGGTGTTTATGCTCTGAGTGCAAAAACCACACTTCTTTATGAGGATTACGTTGTTGATATGGTCCCTATGAATTGCGCTGTTTTAGTGTTGATTAAGCAGGTTAGGTCTTTTTTTGATTCAGTTTTTTCCAAGTTGCTGGTATTCCATATGTCATTTCTATAGAATAACCTGAGGAGACAGTAATTTGTCATAGATGTAATTGGTTAATCAATCCTCCATCATCGCCTAGTGACAATTCGTGTAGCTATCAAGTTATGATTGCATTGTTTTCGAATGTTCTTCCAGTGCATTTTATATATGTCAAGTTTTTCAAGTCCAGATTTCCACTTGCCTTTTGGTATACCAAAATTAAAATTGCAAAAATTGCTTTTATTGTGGACATTATCTCGCTCAGTATTTAGTTTCTTCCCGATTCTATTCTTCTTGAGACGCCGCTTGGTAGAATCAAGTACACACATGTGCCTTTTCTAGCTGTTCTGTCTGTATCAGTTTTCTCTTTAGCAGGCGTGATGAGTTCGGTGAGTTCCCAGTTACTCACATCTGTATAAATTGAAAATGTCTGTTTGTTTCAGGTTGTTGTGCTGCAGTGTGTTCTCGCCGTACAGATTTCATGGACTTACTTGCGATTTTTTAATCCACATGAGATGGATTCAATCTATGGTGACAGCAGCGATCATTTTGTTTGGGCCAGGTGAATTTTTGCCGCTTTGATATCTTTTCGCCTTTTTAAGGAATTTTTCAAAATATATTTCAAGTTTGTTTCCGCGAATAATACAACCGTTCTGCACAGTTCTTGGAAGGATTTGCTTTAGAATTCTTGTGAAGCTGGGTGTTTGCAAGAGATCAGTAAGTA